ATCTTGCAGCATCTTTTCTTCTCATCTTTTTTTCTGCACTCTCTCAGAGCAGGTGTCAGCCAAGGAGCAGAGGGATGTCGGATAGTTTTGGTTAGGAGAGGAGCATGCAGTCGAGGATGGCATGAAGATGGTTGGTAAGGATTTCTACCATGACGTCAATGGATTTTAAGGAATAAATGGGATTCCACTGGGTAGCGTCGAGATCCTGCGACAGGGCTTCACAGGTGAGGGAATTGAGGTTTCGGAAGAATATGGTTCGAGAAGAAAAACTGAGACCGGGATGTTGTAGGAAATGTATAAGGGTCGACTATTAGGTTTTGGAGGGTGCTTTTTATTAAAATAATGTCGGATTTGAGATAGTGCCCCCGGGCAACGGTTTTTTGTAACTTTTAGGATTTAATCAATATAAGGGTCGACTATTAGGTTTTGGAGGGTGCTTTTTATAAAAATAATGTCGGATTTGAGATATTGCCCCCGGGCAACGATTTTTTGTAACTTTTAGGATTTAATCGACATCAGGGTCGACTATTAGGTTTTGGAGGGTGATTTTTATAAAAATAATGTCGGATTTGAGATAGTACCCCCGGGCAACGATTTTTTGTAACTTTTAGGATTTAATCGATATAAGGGTCGACTATTAGGTTTTGGAGGGTGCTTTTTATAAAAATAATGTCGGATTTGAGATAGTGCCCCGGGCAACGATTTTTTGTAACTTTTAGGATTTAATCGACATCAGGATCGACTATTAGGTTTTGGCGGACGCTTCTTATGAAAATAATGTCGGATTTGAGATAGTGCTCCTGGACACCGACTTTTTGTAACTTTCGGATTATATCGACCCCATGGTCGACTATTAGGTTTTGGGGGACGCTTTTTATGACAATACTATTGAACCGCTATAGCATTTGAAAACGCGGAAAAATTAAAAGCAATAGAGACCCTTCTGGAGACCCAAAATACGAAATTGGAAGGACTAATGATGGAAAATGCGACACTCAGGTCCCGGGTGTCGTTGCTTGAAACTAGACTAAACAGGTCCGAGCATATGCACCTATCGGTCGGTTGAAATAAGGGTAGTCCCGGTGAGTTCTGGGGAGACACCCATGGGCCTGATGATGGGAGTGGGGGCTGGCCTGGGACTGAGCTTAAAGCCAGAAGATATCGACTGTTCGGAGCAGATGAGAGCGGGGCAGGATTATACACCAGGGCCGCTTCTGGTGAGATTAGTCAGACAGTTGTTATGGGACGAGTTGGTTCAAAGGCAGAAGGTTGTACGGGACTTCTCAACTCGTCACCTAGGATGGCAGGAGAATGATCCTCACTAAATGTCTATAACCAACCAACACCTATATTGGTTAGCCCGACAGAAGAGATCTACAGAGAAGATCAGACACGCCTGGTTCAATGCGGGCAAAGTGAAATGCCGACGAGCTGACGATCAGCAGGTTGTCGTGATAAACTCGCCATCAGATCTAGACATATTCGCATGACAAGCACTTGCATGTTTCATTACGCTGCATATTTTAGTTTTCATTATTGTATTTGCCTTTTTTTTTTATTTTTCGTTCTTTTATATCTTATCAAGATTTCCTACAACATCCCGGTCCCATTTTTTTCTTCTCGAACCATATTCTTCCGAAACCTCAATTCCCTCACCTGTGAAGCCCTGTCGCAGGATCTCGAGGCTACCCAGTGGAATCCCATTTATTCTTTAAAATCCATTGACGTCATGGTAGAAATCCTTACCAACCATCTTCACGCCATCCTCGACTGCATGCTCCTCTCCTAACCAAAACTATCCGACATCCCTCTGCTCCTTGGCTGACACCTGCTCTGAGAGAGTGCAGAAAAAAAGATGAGAAGAAAAGATGCTGCAAGATGGCAGTATAAACGTACCCAACTCCCGGAAGACTACATCGCCTTCAAGCAACTTCGAAACAGCACTCAGTCTGCTATACGCCGAGCTAAATCCCGTTATTTCGATCATTTCTTATCCAACACCCCAAATTTCAAGGCCAAGTGGTCTATCCTAAAAAAATCTGACCATTTGTAACACACCTCAAACTCAGTTCATTTCCTTTTCTGCTGATGACCTTAACGCTCACTTTGTCTCATGTTCCTTCTCATCCTCACCTCCTGCGATCATACCGGCTCCGATGTATTGCCCTTTTAATTTTAATCCTGATCACTTCTTTTTTTCCCATATTACACCTGATGACCTCCTCAACTCCAACAAGAAATCGCAAACCAATGATTATGGACCCGATAACATCCCAGTCAGACTGATCAGAGCCTCACTACCATCCATCCTTCCAATCCTCTATCATATTTACAATTATTTACTACAAAACGCTACCTTCCCTACATCCCGACATTATTTTTATAAAAACCACCCTCCAAAACCTAATAGTCGACCCTTATATCGATTAAATACTAAAAGTTACAAAAAATCGTTGCCCGGGGGCACTATCTCAAATCCGACATTATTTTTATAAAAATCACCCTCCAAAACCTAATAGTCGACCCTGATGTCGATTAAATCTTAAAAGTTACAAAAAATCGTTGCCCGGGGGCACTATCTCAAATCCGACATTATTTTAATAAAAAGCACCCTCCAAAATCTAATAGTCGACCCTGATGTCGATTAAATCCTAAAAGTTACAAAAAATCGTTACCCGGGGCACTATCTCAAATTCGACATTATTTTAATAAAAAAGCACCCTCCAAAACCTAATAGTCGACCCTTATATCGATTAAATCCTAAAAGTTACAAAAAATCGTTGCCCGGGGGCACTATCTCAAATCCGACATTATTTTTATAAAAAGCACCCTCCAAAACCTAATAGTCGACCCTGATGTCGATTAAATCCTAAAAGTTACAAAAAATCGTTGCCGGGGGCACTATCTCAAATCCGACATTATTTTTATAAAAAGCACCCTCCAAAACCTAATAGTCGACCCTTATATCGATTAAATCCTAAAAGCTACAAAAAATCGTTGCCCGGGGGCACTATCTCAAATCCGACATTATTTTTATAAAAAGCACCCCCGGACACCTCATAGTCGACCCTTATATCGATTAAATCCTAAAAGTAACAAAAAGTCGGTGCCCGGGGGCACCATCTCAAACCCGACAGTATTTTCATAAAAACTACCCCCAAATAAATTATAGTCTATAGAGATCAATTAAATCCGAAAAGTTAGCTATTAGCTTTTAGTTGAAGTTGTAGATAAAGCTTGTAGCTCTTAGCTCTATATAGAGCTATAAAAGCTCTTATATCTTTTAGCTATAAGAAAAGCTAATAATCAACTTAAGCTAAAAGTTAGCTTCTTGGTCCCGCTAAAAGCTAATTAGTTGCAGAATTATCTTCCCGCTAAAAGCTAATTTAGCTGTTAGCTATAGATAATTTTTGCCCAACTCTGGTTTTGACCTTGTTCCAATGGGTGGTACTGAGATTGTCGCCGACGATATGTGCATCTATAATATAGCTCCTTTGCTAGCTCCTTTGTCCTGACCATACCAGATCTGATTTCCACCTCCGTCTGCTCCCGATCCATTTTTTTTTTCTTTTTTTTTTTTTTTGGAGCGCTGCTTCCAACAGATTCACTACGGTATCGTGCCGCTACACTTTCCCACAGTGAGACAAAATGCAATGTTGTATGATATGACTGGATGTTTCACCTGCAGGACACCCTAGTGTACATCGGATCTCCTTATAATAATAATAATACTTTATTTATTCTGGGACGAGTCTCTTTAGAATAATACAGGAAGACAGAAATGTGGACTAAGGAGCCTCAGAGATACATAAATAAAAATACAGAGTAATTGAACAGTCTTGGTGGAAAAAAAATATATATATATATTTATATTATTATTAAAATAAACTGGTGGACAGGATTTACGACAAAGGATGAAGGTTATGTGTTTACATTTGGATTCATTTAACTTAATGAGCCATTTCTTACACCGGTGTTCAATCAGGGAGAGGTAGATTTGTAGGTTTAATGACGCTGTTTTAGGATCTGAGTTGGAAGAAAGGATAGCTGTACCATCAGCGAATGTTGCCAGGAGGATATCAGGATAGACAGGAATATCTGCGGTGAAAACAATGTTAAGGATGGAACACAAAACGCTGCCCTACGGAACTCCCGCTTCAATTAAATGACAAAGTGAAAGTTGTGTTTTGAGGGTACCAGATTTGTTCAATTTATAACAAATATTGAGGCCGATTAGTAAAAATATTGTAATGTTATAAATATGATTTTAGAGTATGGAACGGTCTATTGCAGATTAGCCCCGCCAGTTATTGTTTCAGTAACCTGTTTTTTAACGTGTTTAAAGAATAACACATGATGTTAAAAGCTTTACTTAACCATAATTAACGTAATTCACATTCTTTTGTTTAAGGTTATTCACAGGGCCAAAAATCTTTGATGTTGTCTAAATCAAGTTTTTGCCGTGGTGTCTTTTCCGCCACAGAAATTCACATAGATATGAGTCCATCCTTGACCTATCATGAGCACCATTTCTTTCTACGAGCTGCATTAAATGTCTTTTATTATAGTGTGCTCCTTATGGATAATTCCAGCTTCCTGATAAAACTTATAAGGCTTTTCCCTCGTAGTTATTCAAACTGGAGTATAACATAAAGGAGTTAGTTTTGATAACTAAATTAACCTGTTATGTTTAGATAATAGAAGAATAAAGTCATTGGTTCGAATATAACTGATACTTTCCCCGTTTTAAATTAGTGGTGGGTCTTAACTGCAAAAGATCCCCATAGAATTCACATAGTTTACTAGTGCGCCGCCTTCCTCCGAAAATTTCTGGATCCGTCAATGTTATTTATAAATTTTCAATCAACGCTAATTTTATCAACTTTTTGAACAGTAGGTATTAAAATCAAATACAACTTAACAAATTGAACAATGTAGCCATTACGAACATTATTTTTATTCGTGTGTTGGTTAACTTGAGATTGTACCAGCTGTTTTATGGGAAGGTTACGGGAGTAGAATACCTTTTTCATAGATGGCTGGAAAGCAGATAAGTTGCCGAATATTTTCTGTTTTAGCGACCAGGAGCTCTCGAAGATTTTCGAGTGATGTTCCCACGCACACTGGTCAGGTTCGTTGATTTATAATTTATTGTATGAAGACCAAAATTCAGAACTATATAATTTAATAATGTAGTTCAATATAACAGAAATAAAAAGATGAGTTTGTTTAGATTGAAAAACTCTGCCTTAGAAATACTATCATTTGGTTTTTTTAACCTCAGTACCAACAAATTGTGTTTGGAATTGATTCTTTTAAAATTCATTTTAACTGTGTATTCACTTGCAGTTACTGTCTTCGTAATACATTTAAGTAATTATTTCATCTTAATCAGATATTCATTTATTCAGATTTTTGTTTCTTTTAAGTTTCTAATGTACTTATTACGTATGTAATTTAAATGTGTAATATGTACAAATTCCAAACTAGAAAATTTGAAAAGTAATAGAACTAAGTTGGATGTGTGTATTTACTTATAAATAAAAATACTAATTGTAAAATATAAAAAGTTATTGAGGCCTCCATTTTCATAACATAACCTTATGGTGCTCTCAAATTAGAAAAAGATTCCCCACCTATGGTTTAACGATTTAAATATTGACAATTGTATGTAATTATATTTTATAAAATGTATCAAAATTTCTTATTCAGCATTCCTATCCCGAGAAAATAAAATCCAACACTTTTTATCAATTACGCATGCTACATAAACAATGAATAAAATTAATAGAATTATTAATTTTAATCATAACATTTAACTTAAATATGGCTTAAATGTATTCACCTATAATACAGGTAATTATGAAATTCTACCAATAAACAATCGAAATAGCTTGAATAGTCCTGAAACTACTACATGTTCTATGTAAAATTTATTCCTCATTCTTATTTATGAACTAAAAATATGTCAAACCCATTCCTATTTCTTTTAAACATGAAATTATAAAAGTTGTTTGAATAATTGACATTCAGTATCATAGATGCCCAGTTACTGCACAACGTTCTACTATAATTCTCTTTTAGGTGATCTCAATAGTTCACTTTTCGCCATAAAATGCTAAACATAACCACAAGTTACTGCTTAACTTTATGGTTTTCAATATATCAAAGAAAACAATAAGAACAAATCAATATGGTAAACAATATAACAAAAAATCAATAAAATAAGTAAAATTATGGATCATTAATATAAAAAAGTAAAAAGTTATTAAGAGACAGAAATAAATCTAATTGGAAAATTTCAACCTCACAGCCTTGTCTCTAAAATTCTGGTAAAGAATAAAAGAATCCATTGACGTTTTACCAATTCAGTCATCATTAGGATAGAAAATCAAACAAACAATACCTTATCACTACAAGATTGGATGTCATTAAGTGATGTGATCTTGGGTTTGGTTTCTTCTAGGTCCTCACGATGCCTCTATTGGTGAAAGGTTGATAGATTATTTAATTCTTTATTGGAATTTTCCAATTATAACCTAGTTATGGATCATGTTACTAATTTAGGAAAAAAGAGTAATTAATAGTCTCAAATTTGAACTGAAACATAAATAAAATTCGTGAATAAGGATATCAAGTGGTGAAAGAAACCAAGTACAAAATATGACTGTTTATATTAAGCAATATTTTCAAGTCATTTGGACTATGACTTCTCGATTGATGGTTGAAAGAACTAAATTGTTATACCTCTTGCCATTATAAAAACTTAGTTCTTTTCACCGCCAACCGATGAGCCTTTGATCCAAAATTTAAGGCTTTCTAATAAAAAAGTCATGTTTAGATTTTAGTTTCTAATACAATTTGATGATTCCATTTGGCAAAATAAATTAATAGTAATAATCTACTTAGATTGCAATACATATCATACAGATGCTAATTGTATGATTACAAAACCTTAGTTGGAATGAAACACATTTTTAGTTCTGGTCAAATCGATGACATAAAGTTTGTTTAGAAATATTTTGTTATAAAAATGAGGAAATAGTGTCCCTTTGTTTTTTTTGGTTGAAGAGATAATGTTCGGAGAAGCACTGCTACGAGTTGAGCCTTCTTTCGTTACCTTCGGAGCATCCAACCTTACTGGCGGCCGAACATTTATGTTAGTAGTAGGAAAATGGTGGAACTCCATTGCTCTTAACAAACTAATACTTTTAATGTGATTTTTTTGAAGAACCATTTATCTAAGAAAGGCTGTGGTTTTTAAATAATGTGACAATACAATACGATGAATAATACAGACTATATTTTTGTCCTCATGTATAAATTAATGTTCGAAATCACATTGATTAGATTAAAAAAAAAAAAAAAAATTGTCCTAAAGAATAAAAATAACAATGTCTCTGTATATGTAATTTATCAATGCTAAGCCATTGGATTTTGGATTGAGCATGATGAGTTCTATATATTTCAACAACGTTTGTCCTTATTTGGTAGAAATAGAATGCTCCTCTCATTTCATCTTCCCAATTAGATATATAATTTTTTGGTTGGCCAACATTGAAAATCGATGCTCACATTGATATGAAGTTGAAAGGAGTAAAGTTTGAAGTTCCTTTTTGAGATGAGCTGTATATTCTAGAACACATATCCAAAAATCTGGTGCTCGCAACACAGGACTTTCACTTACCACTCAGCTTTAATATAAATTATTTTCTGGCCATGTTTGGCTATTATAAATTTTTTTAATTGCATTTTGAACTGAGCTAAAGCTAAAATATTACAGCTAAAATTCATAAATATTACTAAAATAACAAAAGTCCTATTTATTATATGACCGATTGTCCTATTTATTAATTCTCCGCTTTCCAGCGATACATTATAAGTATACCTTCTGACTATTAATTTTGAATATTCATTTTCAACCTGGATAAGTATTCTCCTTTTTTTAATTATCAAATTCTTCCAAATTTTATATTGAGCATTTTTCTACAATTCCTAACAATGATAAGTAGTTATTATTTATAATAAACCAAATTAAAGGTACTTTAGAGGAAGATATAATAATGTTGAGATTTCATATATATTAATCAATACATCGACGACCACACTGCAAAAGCCCGTAAGGACAATTTTTAAATCTTGGCCATTTTCTGACCTCACAAAATGTTTCATTGCTTCTCTAAGTTCTTTTGTAAAAGCCTGTAAGTTACTGTGAAGGTTAAAGAGATTATGTCTATCGAAAAAAAGCAACAAAAAAAAATGCAGTTATAAATCCTCAAAGAAAGGCAGTCAGGTAAATGAGTAATGTAAAGCTTTTTGGACTTATTACAAGATATCAGAATTCTTCATTATATTGACTTTCATTTATCTATTTAATTATAATCCAAGATTGAGTATAATTCATGAGGATTCTAGGATCTTATTTACACAGTATCTTGCAGTCTAGTTAGACTCATTATTAGTTGATAATTTCACTCCATTATTTTCTTATAAGAAATTAACTATAATGATGAAATGAAAGAAAAAAAGTTTCCTTTTTCTTGTAACTTTAGTGATGGTAACAGAATAGAGTGTATCGGAAATAGAGAGTAGTTGGCTGATTATAAAGATTAAAAAGATTTAAAGTAAAAGAGGTGGAGAGCCAGTAAGGGATGTACAACAGAGAATTGGAGTTGTAACAGTAGACTGAAGAATCATCAGAGAAAACATAAAAAAAAATAGAAACATGTTTAAATAAACTCAAAACTTGAGAATGAGCCGTAAGAGAAAATGGTGAGGTGTGCCATGGTACTAAACGAAGCAAATAACAGAGTGGTAAGTGGAATTATACCTCCAACAGCAGGGTCAAGAGAAAAGCAGAGTGATGTGCTGGTCTAGTCATGAGATAGTGTGAAGGGAAGAAAATGAGGATGGCCGCTGCCAAGACTCAAGTCATCCTCAAGGGAAAGGCTGATAAGGCACGCCCTATAACAATGTACATAGAAGGCCAGAGGATACCCCCAAGTGAGGTGGTAACCTACCAAGGAGTTATAGTTAGGTTAGGTGTGCCCTGAACACTTGGAATATCTGGTAGGTAGTATGGCTATAGCAATGAATGGTCGCGTGAGAGGGGGGGGAGGGAGGCAGGCACATTTTGGGGTCTCAGGTATCCAGCTACGATCACTATTTATAGAGATGTTATGGAGGATATCCTAAGGTATGCATCTCCTTTCTGGTTCCGGAACCTCACACTTCTAGGAAGAAAAGATTTTCTTCTTGCAGGCTTTTGCAGTGTTGCTGTCGATATATAAATTAAAAAAATATATTTTGTTATATTTCTATATACAGAGTGTCCCGTAATTAGATGAAAATTTTCAAGAAGAGATAAAAAGCGTCCCCCAAAACATAATAGTCGACTGTGATATCTATTAAATCCGGAAGGTTACAAAAAAAATATTGGATTATATAAAATAAAAACTTCTTTTTTTTTTTAAATTACTCATGGCGTTAAAATGTTTTAATAAGGGAAACAAAAAACAGTGTTTTCTTAATTTATACACCTCACATTGAGGTAGCACATTCATTTGTTCAGTACTTCATGTCAACTTCTACAAACATTCTCATTTTGTAGTGGCTAGCATACTATTCTGATATGGTGAAGGTTCCCCAGTTCTAATCTGGTTCCACTATATTCTTTTTTTTTAATATAAAAATATAATTTTAAATTTATTCAAATTCTTTCTGTACTATTATTTAATATTAAAAATTTATCAATTAAATTAATTTGCATAATGCAAACGATTTAAAATTTAGAATTATTCATCATGCTCTTAAAGAGTACGAATTTATTTTATTAATTTATCTAGAACCATAGTTCATGAATCTGTGTTCAATTTATTTACAGAAATTTGATGAAGATGATTACAGGCTGGTCCGTTTTGTTGGAAAAGAAAAGATTGTGAACCAGCAGTTTGCGATAGACCTTATTGCCAAAGTCCCACCAAATGCTAAGAAGGAAAGGGTGGTGTGGTGTGATGGAGGTGGTGGGCCAATAGGTCACCCGAAGGTCTACATAAACCTGGTTTGTTATTTACATGTTCTCCTTCCATTTTGAGTGTAATATTTTAACCTTAACCATTAATTCAATATATCTTAATACTTGCAGGCAGTGCAATGTTATAAACCCATTCAGTCTTTTCTAATCTCTTTTCAGCTCTTCACTCAACTCGATTCACTAATTAGTAGCACCTTAGCATCTATTTATTTTATTTTCAATTGCTGCTAAGGAAAACTTAATTATTTTAATTTTTACTTAACTATATATGTAATATATATTTATTGTAAAATTGTTGGGCTTAGTCAGGAAAGTGTTCCTAAAAGATTAATATTTGCTTTACCGTATGGTAAACATCCGAGTGGTAGACCGAAGCGAAGGTGGGAAGATCGCTTTAAAGTCTATCTGAAGGGATTGGGTTTGGACGGCGAATGGTGGAGGGAGGTGTGTAATAAGCGATTGGTGGTGTCTACATCAAAGCTTCGGGTTCGCTAAGCCTTTTATTATTATGTATGTAATATATGGTAAGAGAAATTATTGCAATCGTAAAAATTGTTGTTCTCACATTCATGATATTTTAACATACAACATTGTAGAATTTAATGGAGAGTAACGACAAAATTATAAATATTAATGTTATTTAACAGAAAGAAAATGTTTCCAGGGAAACTAAATGAAATATCCTAACTAAATGTAAATTTTTAAAAATACTTTTAAGTTTTAAAAAAAAAATCCACTGAATAGCAATTTTTTTTTCATTTTTCTGCTTTATCGATACCTCGCATTCGTGATCAAACCAATCTTTACTGTTTTTCTTGGTTCTTCTTCCCAGCACTACCTCCGCAGCTCCTTTCAAGATGCTTTTTACTTTTCTCCAATTATCTTCCATTGTTGCCTTCTCAGCCTTACCTACCTTCCTTTGTTCGTCCATTATTTTCTGGTGCCTCTTCCTTACGCCTTCTATTTTTAGTTTTTCTGCAGCATAGATTGACCGCATTGCAAACATTGCAAAACTGACACTCCATTATCGTTTGACACTTCATGCTTACTATGATCTCTTATCAGTGTTTTGCCGAGGTTTTCCAGCCAATCTCTGCCTATACTTAGCCAATATCAAGTAGTGGTCACTATTGCTACATGCTCTTCTGTAGCTTCGCACATCTAAGATGTGATGCATGTCTTGTATCTACCAATATATGATCTATCTGATTTTCAGATGTTTGATTAGGAGACCTCAATGTAGCCCTACATACTCGTTTGTGGGGAAAGTACGTACTCATCACTCTTAGTCCTTTATCCGTTGCAAAACTGACCGCTTTCGCTTCATTATCGTTTGACACTTCGTGCTTACTATGATTGGGTCTAAACACTTCTTTCCTTTCTATTTTCACGTTTAAGTCACCTAAAATCATTTTTACATGGGAGTGAGTCATATAAATCTCAAGGCGTCCATAAAATTATTTCTTATCTTGTTCTCCTTTTTCTTCTGTAGGTGCGTGTACACTGATGATTGACAAATTAGCAAATTTACCTTTTAACCTAATAAATAGTGCAAATTTGTTCATTTACTGCTTCTTAGTTCATCAGTGACTGCTTGTGGCTCCTTTTTTATCATGAAACCTGTCCCTAGTTTGTTTTGTTTATTACTATTGTTAATTAAGATGGTATTTATCTATTTCACTAGATCCACCTCACCTCATCGGATTTCTTGCAAGGCTGCCACGTCCACTTTATATTTATCCTACTCTTCTTCAAGTTCTCGCCTTGCTCCTGCTTTTAGTAAGCTTCTAACATTCCAAGTTCCGACTCTCATGTTTATGTTTATTTTCTTATTATATCTAAAACTGTTTGACATTCTTCTTCCTTCTCTACTTCTGTGGTTCTTCCTCAAAAGCATTGGCTGGTGCCTCCCCGAATCCGAATAGGCCCCCATGGAAGCCCCAGGAGAGACTGGAGTTATGTAGTTCAAATATACTGATGAAGATATGAAGTTTTTATTGGTACTCAGGCTTTTAAGGTTCCATCAATGTAATAAATAGAGTTTGAGTTATTTTCATGGTCTTAATGAGTTTTTTCATTGATAAATACGATTGAAATTCACAAATGTGGTGTAGTTAGCCTATTTTAGCCCAATTTTGCCAGATAATTTCTGTTCAAAGTAGAATGGTAAATGAGTTGTGTGATGCGTGCACCAGATTATTTTTTTTTCTTGCAGACTTTGAAACCTTCTCCTGTTGTTTATTTTTATTTTATGAATTTTAATTGACGTAGTTGACCCATCTATTTACTTAACATAACCTGGATGTAGAACAAGAAATCAATGTTAGACAAAAACCTATTAAGTTTTTCTGCTCTAAGATCATTTGTAGTTTCTTTTACACTTCACACCAATTTCTTATCTGAGCTACTTTCCGAATCTTATTAATGCAATCAAGTCAGTGTACCAAAACCCAAAGGGAGTAATAAGGCTAGCTGGCACTGAGTCCAGGTCATTCCATTTCTTTAGGGGAGTTCAACGGCGATAGCCTGAGCCCCTTACTGTTCATAATTTTCATGGATGCCATTTGGAAATTTTGTCAAAGGAGGACACCCAGAGCAATAGTGGGATACTGGAATATGACCCCAGTGTTGACATAGGCATCCTTGTACGCAGATGATGTGGTATCGGTTGTGGATACTGCTGATGAGTGGCAAGAAGAACTATAACTCAGAAGCATGCAGATCAATCCCTCCAAAAGCAAGGTTATGTGTGTAGGACAAAGGAATGAAGATCTTAGAATCACTTGCAATGATCAGCAAGGATGAAAGAATAGACCAGGAGGTCATGAATAGAGTCCAAAAGGCCAATGGAATATACTATCAAATATCCATGATACTCATTGGAAAGAAGGAGTTGAGCAGAAAAGTGAAGATTCTGCTGTTTAAATTAGTTTTTCTTCCGGTGTTACTATACAGATCGGAAAGCTTAGTTGTATTTGCAGAAATGAAATTTCTATAGAAAATATAAGGAAAAGCCAGGCGAGATGAACTAGGAGATAGATCCCGTCCTAGAGACGATTGAAGAAAGGCAGTTGAAGTGGTATGGGCATGTTAGCAGAATGGAAGATGACCATAATGCCAGATGGTTTCTAGAAGCCAGACCAGGAGAAAGACGACCTCAAGGCTTATGTATGCAGATTTGATTGAGAGAATTGGCGCAGTGAGAGGAAGCACCATGCCGGAGGTGAGAAGGCTTGCACAGGACAGGGACCGTTGGACAAGATGGTCAGGGGCAGCTACTCCACACTTAGCAGCAGAGAGGAGATAGTGAGAGAAGAAGAAAGATCATCACAGCACCACTGTTGTCCGGCAACCTGATATATGATAAATGATACAAAAATAGTCATGAGTTCGCGTCCTGGTGCCAAGGCGTCTTTTAAATCCCCGCCCATATCCCATGGCCCGGGAAAACTCCGTATAGCCTTAGTGAGGAAGGGGAGGTCACAAAAAAAAAAAAAAAAAAAAAAAAAGGAAGCGGTACACCAATTTCTTGTCTGAACTATTTTCTCCTCGAACTAACATAATCTAGTATATTTATAATCCCATCCAGCCTACCAGTACCTGATCCAAGAGCTTGAGCAGAATTGATCATGTTACTTTTTAAAAATTTGTCATTTTAGGATACAAATTGTGCTCTTCCACATCAGTAAGCACATTAAAGGTAACTGATCACCAGACCACATGAAATTGAGATTCATTATATCATTTTAGGACACAAATTGTTTTCTTGCACATCAGTTGTTCTGTACGATATAAGTCTTTACCTGTTAGGATTACTACCTCTTTGGAGTACTTTTGTTTTAGTTGGAACTGGGGACGAATGCTATTGTTGTTTTGATCTATGTGACTGAGCCCTGTGTATCTCTCTTGTTATTATATATAATGTTGTAATATGTAATAATGTACTAATAAAATATCAGTAAGCAGATTAAAGGTAACCGACCACCAGACCATATGAGATTGAGATCTTTTTCATCATTATGTTATTTTTTTAATTCTTTATTTTTTAACATCCCAATAAAAATAGTTTTGTAAGATTGCATTTAGTTCAATTTTCAAGGTCATTTAAGTAATAGTAAATTATAAATTACAGGACAAACCAGGAAACCATACTTGTGGCTACTGTGGACTCAGGTTCTATAAAGAAGACAGCCATCACTGAAGATGAATCTAGCTTAACGCAGGTGCAGTTGAAATACAAATTTGATTTGTAATATAGTCATTCTTTCCTTGTGTAATCCATAAATATATTAGTTATTTATCAGTTTCTGTTTAATTATGACTAATTTATTGAGAATAACCTATGCTATATTTTTATATTTACAGAGTGTGCGGTAAGTAGAGAAGGGTAGAAATATTTAGAAGGGTGATAGTAGACATCAAGGTCTACAAAAAAGTTCATAGAAACAATTGCCAAATTTCCAGCAGAAAAATAGGAAATTTAATATTTGTGTCTTTTTAAATGGGTCACGTTTTTTGTTGAATAAGAAATAATAATTAAAAAATATTTAATTTAAGTAATTAACAATTGCTCTACAGTAAACTAGACAAAATTTACTTGAAAAGAAAGTAAAGTGCTGTACAGTAAACTAGACAAAATTTACTTGAAAAGAAAGTAGAGCTTGTCATTCTTAAAACTATTTAAAGAGGACTATTGAGCGGCTGGACTCGGCTAAGTTCCGTTTAAAAAAAATCATAAATTATTTGTGATTTATTTTATCACCCTTTAACTCTACTAAATTTATCCAACTTTTGAAAAAACTCCATCGTTGAATAAGCTTTAACTTCCATATTGATTAAATTGAAGTTTATTTATTTTTTTTTTTTTTTAATCTGTTTATTGAATAATAATACAATCAGCCACTGCTGGAGGGCTATAAGCATTAGGCTAAAAGTTCTCATTCATACAATATATACAAATAAATATAAATATAAGAAGTAAATAAATAATACTGGTGAAGAAGTTAAATAAAAATAAAATAAACAAATAAAATAAAATAAAAACTTCTAAACACAATCATACCTATATACAATATATACATTCGCCCAAGAATCTCCGAGCCAGGCTTTTTCCCCCACACGTGGAAGGCAAAGCAAGACTCCGGAAGATCCCAGCGCCACTTTTCCAGCCGCATCACTAGTATTAGAAGCCTATGGAGACTGAAAGAGGGCACTAGAGCCACAGACGCTCAGGACATGAGTGGAGAAGCTGGCATTGCCAGGACTCCAAAGGCATATTTACAAAAGATCTCGAGGTCACTGCCGTTTCAACCTTCGAGGGAGATGGTATGGATGTTCGGAGCTGGATAGGGATTGCGCTAGAGGATTGGGATGATGAATGAGGTTCTGGTGAAAGTTGGAGAATCTGGATGAGATGATGTCATGGACATATGGGATGTTAAGATCATGGTGTAGGGTCTTGTTCGTGAAAGCAGCAGATGATGGCTGCTATCAGAGTGGCTGGAGTCCAGGCCGCCACCCTCGAGGAATGTGCAGCAATGTATGTGGACTACACCTACCCCAGGGATGACCCGTCCCAGGATAGCGAAGCTGATAGCATGGTAGACGCACCACGTCATACCCGCCTGGTACCGACCTATGCCCACCATGGGACATTTGGGACCTTCGTCTGGCCGTGGAGAAGCAGAGGATCGGCCGAGCTCCAGGACTTGACGGCATAGACGCTGCGATCCTCAAGAAAAGTACCCCTCACATAGAAGAGGAACTCCTCCTCATCATGAATGAATGCTTGGACAAGGGTTACTTCCCAAGCAAGTGGAGGATTGCAGACCTGAGACTGCTCTACAAGGGAGGAGGCAAGGACAAGGAATCGCCCAAAGCTTATCGGCCTATCTGCCTTCTCCCGTCGTCAGAAGGTCCTGGAACAAATGATGGCCGCTAGCCTGAGACCGATCCTCAATGCAGCTAGCCATCTGCAGCAGTTCGGCTCGACACGTGGCAAGGGAAATACAGATGCACTGCTTAGAGTGCGCAGGGATGTGGAGGGGAAGGCGGAGAAGTACGTCCTCCTGATACTGTTTGACATATCCTCCGCCTTCGACAATGTATGGTGGCCCTGCGTACTCCAGCGGTTGCAAGAGCTCGACACCCCCAGTAACCTTTATTCACTAGTAGGCAGTTACCTCAGTCAAAGAACCGTCAGGATCAGGGGTAACTACTACGACGTCGAGAGGAGGATAGAGAGGGGTTGTCCGCAGGGCTCAGTCCTAGGTCCAGCCCTGTGGAAGGAAAGGATCTGCGTCGAAGAGTGAAAGTTACATGCTTGCATTTTGATTCATTAATTTTGATGTGCCAGTTGTTGCACCACTGCTCAATGAAGGAAAGGTGTCTTTGCAGGTCCTGGGACGTTATTAGAGGATCCGAGTGAGAGGATAGGATGGCAGTATCATCAGAAGTTTATTTAGGAAACATTTTGAGATTCATCTTAAGTTTCATAAAACAATTATGTGATTTTATATCTTGTTACCTGTAACGATGTTATCAGCAAAATTGACTACAATAAATTATTGAAAAGCTTTAATTTTGTCTCCCATTTCCTGGGATGTATTACAATAAGTATAAATGCACAAATACACTTTTAAATTATAAAAAAAAAAATGTAAAAAATATCAGTTTTTGAATATTTATAACCTAAAGTAATATAGTACGGTGGGCCAGGCACTACTACCGTGCTGGCTACTACTACACTACTATACTACTGCTGACAAAAATTGGAAATTTTTATATTGAATGCATTATTCTTTCTGCACAAAGAAAGATGGAAAGGGTGAAGCTATAAGTTCTTTTAGGTAACCGTAACTGATTGTTAGGGTTTGCTCTCAAAATGAGGGAAAACGCGAAATTGAACCCAATAATTGGAAAAATACATTAATATATTCAAATAAACATTAGGACTATCTTCACTTTGAAGCCTGTTATAGAGAGGTCTATCGAGAAAGAGAAATAGCTCTCCTTCTGTTTAGTGCATTTTCAAATGATTTTTTAAGGTATCTAAAAGGAAAAGGAGCTTCTCCGAAAGACAAGTAGATATTAGCACAATCCAAAGTGTGAGGCACTTAGCAGATAGAGAGCTGTTTTTCTTTCTTCATGGACTTCTCTATAACCTTCCTTAAAGTGAAGACGGTCTCAATTCGCAACTTCTGTACCAATATGCAACTTGAGTTTCTCAATCCATATCACTCTGGAAATCGACAGTATTTCTTATTCTAGCTTCTACGATTCTTGAGTAGAGTTTCTATGGTACACTAAACAGGAATGAATCTCGATGGGTATTACATTCCCTAGTATCTCCTTTCTTTTAAATGGACAAAACTACACTCCTTTCATATAATTTTCTAATACATTTGTTGCCTATGTATGCATAAAACAGTGTGAAGCAGTTCGGTTTACTTTGTCCAGACCTGCTGACTTGGCAATTGCTTGAACAAATCTTTCTTTCTGATAAAATGGTCTTCACCATAATAAACCTGTGCCGTCAATAAAAAATTCATATATTCAGCAAAGTGTTTTTGAATTAAGTTTTATTATTATAATTATATCATTTTTACAATAGAGACCTTCTTAAACGACCTCTGTATATAATAAAGGAAGTTAAATTTAAAAAATAAATAAAATATAAAATAATAAATTTAAAAAAAAAAATTATTAATTTTTTGAACAATTAATTATTTCATTAATATTGGTTCATTAATACAATCAATATAATGTACAAAAAACTAAATTACTTTTAGGTGACAGGATATCAAAGCACATAATTTTCTTTATACGACTTAAGGTGGAATCTCAAAAATTTTTCTAATAAAACCCAACTTAGGTAGAATGAACCTATAGCTTATTAAAAGAGCAAGTTTTTCTTAAAGTGGGGTAACTGTAATATAGTTGGAGGGTGATCAAATAAATCATGCATAATTTATGATTTTTTTTTAAAGAGATCTTAGCTGAGCTTAGCCGCTCAGTAGTTCTCTTTAAATGGTTGTAACAATAACAAACTGTACTTTAGTTCAAAGTAAATTTAACTGGTTTACTATCGAACAATTGTTAATTACTTAAAGTAAATAATTTTTTACTTATCACTTCTTATTCAGCAAAAAACAATCTTAAATTTCCTACTTTCCTCCTGGAAATTGGGCAATTGTTTATATGAATTTTTTTTTGCAGATCTTTATGGCTACTATCACCGTTTTAAATATTTCTCTCTACTTATGGGACACTATATATATAGAAATAGAAAATAAACTTTATTATGGGACGATGTCCCCTTAGAATAACAATAATGAACAGTTACAAAAGAAAAAATACACATCTGGCCAAAAACTAACTTAATAAAGATTCAAACAACATATACAACAACTTAAATAATAGTATGTAAGTTACTAAAACATAAAATAAAATCTTCTCAACTATACTTATAATTTGACTGTAAAAAATAACAAAAAGAAAAAAAAAAAAAAGAATTACATGTATAGAAAGAAAAAGCAACACCTCCAGATAAGAAAAAATACCCAGAGTACATAAATAAAAAAATTGACTTATGTTAAAATCCAAACAGCTAAAGAATACAACATATATACATATATTAAAGACAGAAGATGAGCAACGGGATCACAATATTGCATTATCTCAGCATAAGAGGTATAAACTAAGAATAGATAGATAAATACAATTAGGAAGGTGCATTAAATTAATTTTATGAGAACACAATTGCAACCAGAAAGAAAAAAAAAACTGATTTAAAGAAAATAAATTATTTATATATGTTATACAATACGCAATTGTATTGTAATATGTTATACAATACGCAATTGTATTGTAAACTATAGAAACACGGAGATTAAGATAGGAAAAGATACATATGTATACAAATTGAGGAATATAAGAAATGAAATATGTCTAAAATATACACAATCTTGTAGATGGAAAAAAAGAAAAATGGATACCAACAATTTCTTATTTTTTATGCATCACCTCACAGTGCTATGCCAAAAGTGATACTGAATCTTTCCAATTCACAAATAATAAACAGAAAATAAAATAAAATAGTGGTGTATGAAAAAAAAAAATTCCTTGTTACATTATACATAATTAACCAGCGTCTGATTGGATTGTGAAGAGGAATTGGAATGAGAGGGTTTTGTATGTGGATAAGGGTGGAGCATGGCGGATTTTAAGCGGGATGGAATTCCAGAAGGTGGAGGAGCGGACAATAAAGGAATGTTGAAATGACGCAGATCTATGGAAAGGGGCGTAAAGGTCA